ATCTGCCTCTGCTGTCAGTGGTGATGGGGAATGTGAGATGGGGCCTTTCCCCTCTGGGGGACACCGGCTCTGATCAGGACCCAGGCCTGGAAGACTGACTGGCTCAGGGGGCCAGTGAATGCTACTGCATCTCACCTGAAGCCTGGAATCCGTAGGCCCAGCCTGCACTAAGTCACTCTTTGTAAATCCCCACCTGGATCTCCAGCCTGGGCTGTGTCCAGGGCCAGCTCTAACTTTTTTGCCATTCCAAGCAAAAAAAAAAGAGTGCCGCCCCGCTGTAACACCCCCACCTGCACCGCCCTGCCCCGCCGAAACACCCCGAGCACTGCGCTGCCAAAACACCCCCCTGCCGAGCGCCATGCCGCTGAACACCCCCCCCCCCGTGGAGCGCCCTGCCGTGCCGCCAGACCCCCCGCCCCCGTGGAACACCACGCTGCCGAACCCCCCCGGCCGAGCGCCCCGCCGCCGAAACAAAAACAACCCACCCCACCCCCAGTGCTGCCCAACCGAATAAAAAAGAATGAGCGCCCCCCCGCACCCCAAGATTGGCCACCCCTTACCAGGTGACGCCCAAGCACGTGCTTGGTCGGCTGGTGCCTGGAGCTGGCCCTGGCTGTGTCCCCTCCCACTCCTGTGAATGGGGGGGCTGATGTGTCACATGAACTGGAGAGCATTTGCCACATTGACCAACAGACCTGCGTGGGGGTGGAGGGGCCTCTCATGGGCTGCAGAGCTGCCTGAGCTCAGATCTATGTAGGCCAGGCTCCAGCTGTGCATGGCCCCAGCTGTGCAGCACTCCAGGATCTGGGCCATTCCTCACCAAGTGGCCTTATCCCCGGCATCTTGAATGCGAGAAAGAAGGAACCACAGTGTTTGGGACCGCTAAACACTGAGGATGGAGTGGAGGTTAAGGATAATCTAGCCATGGCCCAATATCTAAACAAATACTTTGCCTCAGTCTTTAATGAGGCTAATGAGGAGGTTAGGGATAATGGTAGGATGACGAATGAGGATATGGAAGTAGATATTACCGCATCCGAGGTAGAAGCCAAACTCGAACAGCTTAATGGGACTAAATTGGGGGGCCCAGATAATCTTCATCCAAGAATATTAAAGGAACTGGCACATGAAATTGCAAGCCCATTAGCAAGAATTTTTAATGAATCAGTAAACTCAGGGGTTATACCATATGACTGGAGAATTGCTAACATAGCTCCTATGTTTAAGAAAGGGGAAAAAAGTGATCCGAGTAACTATAGGCCTGTTAGTTTGACATCTGTGGTATGCAAGGTCTTGGAAAAAAATTTGAAGGAGAAAGTAGTTAACGACATTGAGGTCAATGGTAATTGGGACAAAATACAACATGGTTTTACAAAAGGTAGCAGATTTTTTAGACAAAGGAAATGCAGTGGATCTAATCTACCTCAATTTCAGTAAGGCATTTGATACGGTTCCACATGGGGAATTATTAGCTAAATTGGAAAAGATGGGGATCAATATTGTCAAGGCTGCTTCCTCACTCTGAACTTTAGGGTACAGATGTGGGGGCCTGCATGAAAACTTCTAAGCTTAACTACCAGCTTAGCTCTGGCCCGCTGCCACCACTCCCAATGTGCTAATTCCCTTCCCCGGGTAGCCTTGAGAGACTCTTCACCAATTCCTTGGTGAATACAGATCCAAACCCCTTGGATCTTAAAACAAGGAGAAATTAACCATCCCCCCTCCTACCTCCCACCAACTCCTGGTGGATCAAGATCCAAACCCCTTGAATCTAAAACAAGGAAAAATCAATCAGGTTCTTAAAAAGAAGGCTTTTAATTAAAGAAAAAGGTAAAAATCATCTCTGTATAATCAGGATGGAAAATAACTTTACAGGGTAATCAAACTTAAAGAGCCCAGAGGACCCCCCACTAGTCTTAGGTTCAAAGTTACAGCAAACAGAGGTAAACACCCTAGTAAAAGGTACATTTACAAGTTGAGAAAACAAAGATAAAACTAACACACCTTGCCTGGCTGTTTACTTACAAGTTTGAAATATGAGAGACTTGTTCAGAAAGATTTGGAGAGCATGGATTGATGTCTGGTCCTTCTTAGTCCCAAGAGCGAACTCCCCCAAAACAAAGAGCACAAACAAAAGCCTTCCCCCCACCAAGATTTGAAAGTATCTTGTCCCCTTATTGGTCCTTTGGGTCAGGTGTCAGTCAGGTTACCTGAGCTTCTTAACCCTTTACAGGTAAAAGGATTTTGGAGTCTCTGGCCAGGAGGGATTTTATAGTATTGTACACAGGAGGGCTGTTACCCTTCCCTTTATAGTTATAACAAATATGAAAATGGAAAGGTGGATAAGGAACTGGTTAAAGGGTAGCCTAAAACGGGTCATACAGACAGATGAACTGTCAGGCTGGAAGGAGGTTACTAGTGGAGTTCCTCAGGGATCAGTTTTGGGACCAATCTTATTTAATCTTTTTATTACTGACTTTGGCACAAAAAGTGGGAATGTGCTAATAAAGTTTGCGGATGACACAAAGCTGGGAGGTATTGCCAATACAGAGAAGGACCGGGATATCATACAGGAAGATCTGGATGACCTTGTAAACTGAAGTAATAGTAATAGGATGAAATTTAATAGTGAAAAGTGCAAGGTCATGTATTTAGGGATTAATAACAAGAATTTTGGTTATAAATTCGGGACACATCAGTTGGAAGTAACAGAGGAGGAGAAGGACCTCGGAGTATTGGTTGATCACAGGATGAGTATGAGCTGCCAATGTGATATGGCCGTTAAAAAAGCGATTGTGGTCTTGGGATGCATCAGGCGAGGTATTTCCAGTAGAGATAAGGAGGTGTTAGTACCATTATACAAGGCACTGGTGAGACCTCATCTAGAATATTGTGTGCAGTTCTGGTCTCCCATGTTTAAGAAGGATGAATTCAAACTGGAACAGGTACAGAGAAGGGCTACTAGGATGATCCGAGGAATGGAAAACCTGTCTTATGAAAGGAAACTCAAAGAGCTTGGCTTGTTTAGCCTAACCAAAAGAAGGCTGAAGGGAGATATGATTGCTCTCTATAAATATATCAGAGGGATAAATATCAGGGAGGGAGAGGAATTATTTAAGCTTAATACCAATGTGGACACAAGAACAAATGGATATAAACTGGACATTAGGAAGTTTAGACTTGAAATTAGACGAAAGTTTCTAACTATTAGAGGAGTGAAGTTCTGGAACAGCCTTCCAAGGGGAGTAGTGGGGGCAAAAGACATATCTGGCTTCAAGACTAAGCTTGATAAGTTTATGGAGGGGATGGTATGATGAGAGAGCCTAATTTTGGCAATTAATTGATCTTTGATTATTAGCAGGTAAATATGCCCAATGGTCTGTGATGGGATGTTAGATAGGGTGGGATCTGAGTTACTACAGAGAATTCTTTCCTGGGTGCTGACTGGTGAGTCTTGACCACATGCTCAGGGTTTAACTGATCTCCATATTTGGGGTCGGGAACAAATTTTCCTCCAGGGTAGATTGGCAGAGGCCCTGGAGGTTTTTCGCCTTCCTCTGCAGCGTGGGGCACGGGTCACTTGCTGGAGGATTCTCTGCACCTTGAGGTCTTTAAACCATGATTTGAGGACTTCAATAACTCAGGCATAGGTTAGGGATTTGTTACAGGAGTGGGTGGGTGAGATTCTGTGGCCTGCATTGTGCAGGAGGTCAGACTAGATGATCATAGTGGTCCCTTCTGACCTTAAAGTCTAAGTCTATGAGTCTATGATGACCCTGAGGTTTCTGAGTGTCTCAGCCAGAAGCCACATCTGTCCCCCACAGGCCTGTGCATCTGTGTCACCTGGACTTTCTCAGGGGTGCAACCTCTCCATTTCCTGCTCCCGCTGCCTCTACCTATAGAGGGGGAGGCATCACCCTGGTTGCACTGATTCAGCCCCACCATGCAGGAGCTAACCTGTGGCTAGCAGACCCAAATGCCAGGCCTCACATGATTCTGAGCGAGGCACATCTGGGCCAAGCCAAGCCACGGCCCCCAGCTTTGGGGCTCCAAGGCAGGTTCCCGGAACCAGGGCTACTGCTGGGCACCTTTCCCAGGGTCATGGGATGCTGGATTCCATCTGCCCTGGACCAGTGCTGCGACCTCAGCAAACCCCTCCCATCACTGTTCAGGGTGCGCCAGGAACTGCCATCAACCCGGCTTCCCATCTGGAACCAATTTGGGTCGCCCGTGTGCAGGACAGAGGAATTCAGACCGGAGGAGATGCAGAGAAGGGCTGTGAGGGCGCTCAGGGCACTGGAGAGCAGGTCTGATTAGAGGAAAAGGAATGTGCTGTGTTGGATTAGCCTAAAACACAGGCGGTGATGGGGTCTGATTACTCTCTATGTTGGTGGTGTGGAGGGTGCAGGGTTTGTGGAATGTCAGTCTATCTTCTATGGGGAGAGGGGGCTGTAGAATTTGGATGATCTCCACCTCAGGAGAAGGGGACCAATTTCCATAGGGACAGGCTGGCTAGAGGAGTCAAGGGAGGGCTAAACTAATAAGCAAAGGGGGGGGGTAAAAAGGGAGGAGAACTGAGCTCTCAGGAAGAATCAAGAACAAAATTAATCCAGGAACCCCAATTAAATGAAGAGAAGAAATTCTTGGCTTGCCCCTGCACCAGTGTGAGGAGTCTGGGGAACAAACACGAGGAATTGGAATTGCTCCTCTAGGAACATCAGTTTGGTGTAGCAGGTGTGACTAGGACCTTCTAGGATGATTTCCATGACTGGACGGTTAAAATCCCTGATTACCAGCTGGTCAGGAAGGATCAAGGGAGTCAAAATGGGGAGGGGACGTGCACTCAGTGTCAAAAATGTGAAGTGTCCTAGGCCCCAGCCTAGCGCATTGACCACAAGCCCAACCTTCCCCTGTAGGGGTTAATTCCCTCCTGGCCCTGGTAGATGCAGCAGCTGCTCTGGATTTCACAGCTCAGGTTGATCGCTCAGTACCTGAAACACTTTTTTTTTGTAACTTCATTTTTATTCATTGCTGGCAATGGAGCAGTGAGCGAAATGCAGCAGGCCGCGTGGCAGGGTGGGGCAGGGAAGGTGGGAAGGAGGGATCAGCACCGGGGATTGACCTGCAATCAGTTCAGTGCAGCCTTCTCTGCGTTTCTTTCCCACTGGCCTCACCAGCGCTGGGAACAGGTGTGTTTGGAATGGCGGTGGCCAGCCCGATGAACTAACACGTGGGATAGGTCCAGTGAGGACAGGTCAGGGTGCAATTTTCACAGGCTTTAGCAGGTCAGGTAACAATGAAGATCCCTCAATAAATGGTCACTCGACCAGCTGACTTGGGGAGAGCTACAAACCACCGGGTCTGCCCCAGGGTTCACCGTGTCTGTTACCCCAGGTGAAATAAACCAGCTGTTTCCCTAGTGAAGACGCAGCCTGAGGATCTGCATTGGGATTGCCAAGGGAGCCGATGGAACTGGTCTTCAACCTGGTTCCTAACTCCCCTAGGCTCTGTGCCTTGATGCTCATGGGCTGGGCACAGCCTGAGTGCAGCGATGGCTGGGGGGGGGTATCTTGGGGAGAGGGGGGCTCAGCCAATCTGCAAAACAGGCCCTACATCTGGGCATCAGCAAAGCACAGAAGCGACGCAGCTCCGGCCCCTGCAGCTATTCCCGGCTTGGCTCAGGGCTGCAGCCTCTTCATTGTCTCCCGTATCCAGGGGATGAAGGTGGAGACTTTCGTGTACACCCCAGGAGGGGCGCGAAGCCCCCAGGAGACGATGCCCTGGGCTGTTTTCCCGCACACTAGGGGGCCTCCAGAATCACCCTGTGAAATAAAACAAACCACAGATGGAGAACAGCTCAGTGAGTCATTCCCACTGATGCACAGCTCAGTGACAGCCCCCTATGTCGAGTTGGTCTCTGCTTCGCTCCCCCAAGGCCCAGCTGGTATCAGTCCCCCTACCCCTACCCCTAGAGCTGGTCTCTGCTTCCCTTAGGAGAAAACCAGATATTTTTCCATTCATTTGTACAGCACCAAGCACAGTGGGGCTAGATCGCTGACCACCACTCGTAGGCCGGACTGCAACACCAACAGCCTCATTAATAATATCAAAGATGCTTGAAGACAGGAGGAGAATCACCTTCCAAGAGTCTTTGCGCGTCTTTGGATCCCCCACACACATCATGGTGGAGGCATTATAGAGCTGGTATTTCATGTTAGGATTCCTCAGACATGTGGCATCTGGCATCACCACCACATCCACCTCCTGGAGCTTGTCTGGTTTCAATTTACTTTCTGTGCTAGTGCCGCCCCAGCCGGCGACGCTGCACATGGCCCCTGGCTTTACTGTCTCGCTGGCACTGGGCAGGGCGATGGTATCCACCCATCTGTTCAGCTTCGCTCTGTCTGCCAGCTGAGACACAAGAACGATGAAGATCAATGTGAGGGTCGCACTCAAGGACACAGCAACACACCCCAATACCCAGAAACACACAAAGCAATGAGTGCAAGGTCACTGGGAATCGGAGGATGGGATAGAGGCGGTACCTGCAGCTGTGTGAGGTAACTGGGGGCGGGGTGATGGGATGGGGGTCTTACCTGCAGCAGCATGATGTCATTGTTCAGGGTTGTCTCGTTGTACTGCGGGTGGGGGATCCTGCGGCGCACAGAGATTTTCTGTTGGCTCTGTTCCCGTTCTCTAATGTTATGGGCTCCCAGCTTGACAGTGATCTCGCTGTGAAAGCCAAGAGCAATATATGGGGCATTAGGGGTGTCAAGGCTCCTTCCCCACTCTGAACTTTAGGGTACAGATGTGGGGGCCTGCATGAAAACTTCTAAGCTTAACTACCAGCTTAGCCCTGGCCCGCTGCCACCACTCACAAAGTAATAATTCCCTTCCCTGGGTAGCCTTGAGAGACTCTTCACCAATTCCCTGGTGAATACAGATCCAAACCCCTTGGATCTTAAAACAAGGAAAAATTAACCACCCCCCCTCCTTTCTCCCACCAACTCTTGGTGGATCAAGATCCAAACCCCTTGGATCTAAAAAACAGGGAAAACCAATCAGGTTCTTAAAAAGAAGGCTTTTAATTAAAGAAAAAGGTAAAAATCATCTCTGTAAAATCAGGATGGAAAACAACTTTACAGAGTAATCAAACTTAAAGAGCCCAGAGGACCCCCCTCTTGCCTTAGGTTCAAAGTTACAGCAAACAGAGAGAAACACTCTAGCAAAAAGTACATTTACAAGGTGAGAAAACAAAGATAAAACTAACACACCTTGCCTGGCTGTTTACTTACAAGTGTGAAATATGAGAGACTTGTTCAGAAAGATTTGGAGAACCTGGATTGATGTCTGGTCCCTCTCAGTCCCAAGAGCGAACAACCACCAAAACAAAGAGCACAAACAAAAGCCTTCCCCCGCCCAAGATTTGAAAGTATCTTGTCCCCTTATTGGTCCTTTGGGTCAGGTGTCAGCCAGGTTACCTGAGCTTCTTAACCCTTTACAGGTAAACGGATTTTGGAGTCTCTGGCCAGGAGGGATTTTATAGTGTTGTACACAGGAGGGCTGTTACCCTTCCCTTTATAGTTATGACAAGGGGCAGGAGCGTACGTGAGGCTGGGGAGGGGCACATGTGGGTCTGACTCATGAGCAGTGATATGGGGAGGACAGGGCAGCCGGGGATCTCAGTCTGTTAGCTCAGATTCAGTTTTCAGCCTCTGGGCTGGGAAATAGCACAGGGGACTTTTCCTCTCTAGGAGGCGCTGGCTGCAGCACACAGACCCTGCCCAGTGCTGTCGGGTTCTCAGCCTGTGTCTCTACCAGCCCTTTGTGTTGTTCCTCTGAGCTCCTTCACGCCCCACAGTCCTCCTGCCCTCTGGGTCTCAGCTCCTCCCCACCCCCGGCTAGATCCAGACAGGGGTCTATGCCAGCTCCTCCCAACCCAGAGCCCTGCAGAGCTGTCCTGGGGCTGTGACTCTCTGCCCTGATCAGGTCAATGGGCCAGACCCCAGCTGGTGTCAATGGCTGTAGCTCCATTGATTTACCCAGAGTTGGATCTGGACCATGGTTTGCAGAGCCCCCTAGAGACACACTGACACCCCCTGACCAGATCATATCCCTGGGTTGTGCCCTCTCAGCCTGTCGCACTAACTGCTGCTTCTCTGGAGCCGACGACGGCACCAGAGCTCCCAGCTCCCCCATCACCCACTAACGCCTGACCTGCCCCGACATTCCCAGCACAGAGGCACTTACTCTCCATTGCAGTGAGCGGCCGTCAGCACGAAGTTCTCTGCCACCAGGAACGCGCCACAGATACAAGTATTCCATCTGCGTTGTATTTTCAGATAGGCCATGTAGGGTCTGGAGTGGGGCTTGGCTTCCTGGCCCCCAATGATCTCACCTGGGGAGAGACCAGGTCCATAGAAAGAGCCCCATCATCTCCCTGGACTGGGCTGGGACCGAGCTCCCCATACGGAAGGGGAATCTCTACACCTCATCCCAGCCCCCGTGATGCTCTTCTTGGGGGATCCCTGTGCCTGGAATTCTGCCACCTCCTCACCTCTCCCCCAGACTGGACACCCCATGGGGCCGGAGGGTAAATCTAAAGCTCTGACCTCTCTGTGTGGACAATCGGTGCCAAACGCACCAGGAGTGGGTCAGTAATCCCACTGCCTGGAGTTAACAGCTTTGGGGGCCGAAGTCACCCCAGATTAGGCCAGGCAGCCCCTGGAAGGGCACAAACAGGTCCCTTGTGGATGCTTCTTCTCCTTCAGCCCACAGTCACCAGCCAGGGCTGCTCCCAGACTGACCCGCCAAACTTTTTAGGAACGTCATTTTTTCTCAGAAAGCCTCGTCTCAAACCAGTCTGAATTATTGCGGTGAAACTGATTCTTTCCCTCCAGTGTTGGGTGATATTTAGGTGAAAAATTAAAAGTACCACTTTGGGGTTTTTTTCCCCATGGAAAATAAAAAACGTTTTGTGATCACCTCCGAAGAAGTTTCCACCCAGGTGGGTGGGTGTGTTGGAAAATCTCAGTTTTAACATATTGCTGTTATTTGCATGAGGGTGGCACATAAACCGAGAACCAGGCCCCTATTATGCCAGGGGCTGTGCAGAAATTAACCGAGATCAGGGGCTCCCTTGCTCCAGGCCTTTCGCTGACCCAGACAGCGTCCAGCCACAAGCTTAATTATTCTTCACATTGTACAGATAGGGAAACTGAAGCCCAGAGAGATTGTTTGTAAACCCGCCTAAGGGATTTCAGTGACCATCCTCAATCCATAGAAATCATTGTCCACAGAGATCCTGGGCAGATCTGGGAAGTGCTCACAGATTTCTTGGGTCCCAGCCCAGTGGCCTAGCCCCATGCCCAACCTCCCTGTCTAGGACACTGATTGGCAGTGGGGTCCCAAAGGAGCCTGTGGGGTTTTGGCCACCCAACCCCTTGGGCTGTTGTGAGAGCCCCAGCCACACTCAGAAGAGGATGCAGGGTTCGATACAGGTGCTTGGCCCCAGCAGGAGCAAGGGGGAGACCCTAAATGCTGCCCACAGCTCCCCATATGGGGTGAGGGTCACGCTCCCCTTGGGCCCTGATCCCACCTCAAAGTCACCAGCCTGAGACCCAGTGGGAAGGAGAAAGGCCACAGGAAGTAGGACAAGAATCAAGAGCTGCATCGTCAGAGATATCCAGGAATGGCACGGAGCCTCTGCCTTAGCCCCAGGGGTTATATGGACCAAGCATGGGGAGGGCAGGGCCTGGCAACCACAGGACGTGTACCCTGCTGCCCGGAATCTCCCACCCCAGATGGTCCAGGGGTGGAGACGCCAATTGGATAAGCCTCCAGCCACAGCTGTGCCCACATCAGGGTGGGGGGTTCCTCCCTGCTCTAGTGCCCACCAAGACAGGCGGTGGATGTGGTCAACCTTCCCCACTCCCTACTACAGGTGTAAGAAACACCTCTGAGTTTCTCTGAATCTAGATACCCAGAGCCATAGATTTCAAGGCCTAGAGGGACCATTATTACCTTCCAACCTGACCCCCTGGTGGACATCCCAGAGCCAGAACCCACCCTGCAGCTGCTGCCTCCACCACGGCCCTGGGTCAGTTGTTCCCATGGCTCCATGTTTAATGTTTGAATATTAGTCTCAGCCAGACCTTTTCTGACACCAGCTCCTGGCCATTGGGTCTTGTCCTGCCTGGGCCACAGAGGCTGAAGAGACCCTGCTGTCAAAACCCCCACCCATGGAGTTTCCTACAGAGGGGCCAAGTCCCCTCTTTGCCTCCAAAACACTCAGAAGATCACTCTCCTTGAAGCTCTCCCCACCAGCTTGTTCTTGTAGCTCTTTTCAATTTGCCAAAGTTGTGCTAAAGGAGTGGACATTAGAGCTGGACAAAATCTCCAGTCATGGTCCCACAAGGGCGCCTAATCCAGAGGTGACCCCAACTCCTTCCTGCTACTGAATATCCCCTGGTTTATACACCCAAGGATGATATCTGCCTGCTTAGCTCCAGCATTTCACTGAAACCTCTTGTTTGGATGGGTTCCGCCATGCTCCCTTTTAGAGCCCCTGCTCTCCAGGACACAGCTCCCGTCCTGCCAATGTGAATGACATCCCTTGTCCCTCGATGTTTGACCTTGCATTTGGCTGGATTCATGTGCAGGTCTAATTGCACCCAACTAACCAGGTGACCCAGGTAGCTCTGTAGCTTGGAGATGTCCTCCACCCCACCAATCTTTGAGTTCTCTGCAGATTTTGCCAGCAACAATTTACATGAACTTCCAGATCATTCATACAGATACTGAATAACCTGAGGCCCAGAACAGATCTTTGTGGGGCCCACCAGCAACACACCAGTGGATGCTGATTCCCCATTGAGGATCATATTTTGAGGAGAACCATTTTGGAGCCACGTTGACTGTTTAGAGAGATAATTTATCAATATGAATGTTGTGTCGTAGTTGGGCACACTCCCTACGGGAATCCACGTATATATCACAACAGCACAGTCACCTTAATTAACCAGACTTTTAAGGTTGCTCAGAAATGACAGCATGGTCATTGAACATGGACTGTTCTCCATGAACTCACGTTGACTGGCATTAACTCTGTTTCCATCCGTTAGTAGCTGCCTATTGGTAGATCCAATCTCAGCCCTTCCATTATTTGGCTCTGGATCCCTCTCTTGGAATTGCCATGTCTGATGAATGAGGGGTGGGATCTGTCCATCCAGATATCAGTGTCACAGTCGAACAGAGGTGGGCAAACTACGGCCCAGGGGCCACATCCAGCCCTCCAGACATTTTAATCCGGGCCTCGAGCTCCCACAGGGAAGCGGGATCTGGGGCTTGTCCCACTCCGGTGCTCCAGTCGGGGGTGGGATCAGGGTCTTGCTCCACTCTGGATGGCTCCCCGGAGCAGCATCCTGACCCCACTCCGGTCCTATGCATAGGGGTAGCCAAGGGGCTCCGCATGCTGCCCTCACCCCAAGGGCCGCCGCTGCAGTTCCCATTGGCCAGGAACCACAGCCAATGGGAGCTGCAGGGAGGATGCCTGTGCACAGCACAGCGTGCAAGCCACCTGGCCGCGCCTCCGCATAGGAGACAGAGGGGGGACAAGCCTTTGTTTCTGGGAGCGGCTTGAGATAAGTGCCACCTGGAGCCTGCCCCCCCCCAACCCCCTCCCATGTCCCAACCCCCCTGCCCTATCCCTGATCCCCCTCCTGCCCTCCAAACCCCTCAGTCCCAGCCCGGAGCATCCTCCTGCACCCCAAACTCCTCATCCCCAGCCTAACTCCAGAGCCCGCGCCCCCAGCCAGAGCCCTCACGCCCACCTGCACCTCAACCACCAATTTCATGAGCATTCATGACCCACCATACAATTTCCATACCCAGATGTGGCCCTCGGGCCAAAGATTTTGCCCACATCTGATCTAAAACAATTCCAGAACCTCTCTAGATTGATTCAAAATCAATATATATGCATGAATACCCAACTCGCTCCATTTAAATTCTTGCTAGATTCACTTCAGTTGATGCTGTTCATTCTACATCTATCCATACCAACATAGCCACCTGTAGATCCCTTCTAGATTGGTGCACATCCCTGTACATCCATTCTAGACCCATCATTTCACCCTACCAGTGCTGGACCGACCTGCTGTCTGGACCCTGCTGGTAGCTACAGGTGCTTGGAACAGTGACAGCAGCACAGATATGTCCAAGAGGGGAAAGGCCGCACGTCTCATTCTGTACCCCTAGAACCAGCCAGTCCCCTCCTATGAGGTTGTATCGTAGCTGGCACCCCCTGTAGGGGAAAGGCCCCACGTCCATTCCCCACTCCCCCAAACCAGCCTGTCCCCCATCCCCGGGCTGCTCTTACTCTCACCAGTGCTGCATAGAGAGGCAAAATGCCTTCCCTGATTTTACAGCCCAGGCTCTGGTCAGTTTTTCCCCAGAGGTGTGTGGGGAGCTCATGGCACTGCTTGTTCACTGTAAGCCCCCCTAGATCCTTTGTGGAGCATCAGTTCTCCAGGACACAGTCCAGGACCTGGGGAGGTGTCTGCGTCCCTGGGGCTGGGAGGGAGAACACTGCATCGGCTGGATTCTCACTGCTGGGGTGTGACAGGGCCCAGCTCACCAAGCACCCCAGCTTGCTCCCTGCACCTGCCCTGGCTCAGTCAGCATTGACCGCTCTGCCTGGTGCTGTGAAACCTGAAGGTCTGATGGCAGCATGAGCTGGGACCCTGGGGTGACTCTGGTTCCTGGCATCCAACCTGAGACACTGAGCAGATCTGGGATATGGGGGGAAGGATAGCTCAGTGGTTTGAGCATTGGCCTGCTAAACCCAGGGTTGTGAGTTCAATCCTTGAGGGGGCCACGTAGGGATCTGGGGCAAAATGAGTACTTGGTCCTGCTAGTGAAGGCAGGGGGCTGGACTCAATGAACTTTCAAGGTCCCTTCCAGTTCTAGGAGATGGGATATCTCCATTTAAAAAAAAAAAGACTCTCAGCTGACCAGGACTAGGGTGACCAGACGTCCCAATATTATCGGGACAGTCCCAATTTTAGGGGACTTGTCCCGCGTCCCGACCTTACATTGGTCGCGACGTCTGGTCACCCTATATGAGGGAGACCGCGGCAAGCAGGCGCCGCCAGCGCCACTCACCTTCCCGCCATGGGGCAGTGCGCAGCTGAGCTCCCGGCGCGGCGGTGTCAGCCCACGGGGCCCCGCCCGGTCGGCAGGAGCCTGCACAGCGCAGCCCTAGCGCAGCCCTGCCCCAGCCCCGGCACACGGAGAGGCAGCGAGGAGGTCTCGCTCTGCTGTGTGCTGCAGCGGGACAGAGCCTGTAGACTCCGGCAGCAGGCAGCAGTCCCCGGGCAGAGAGCCCCCCCACGCCCC